ATAAAGATTTTTATGAAATGGAAAATAGTCATACTAAATTGATGTACTTGTTTCTAAAGATTTAAATAATTTATTTTATATTCAGTATTCAGGTATTTACTATCTTCAAATAATTGCGCATAGAAGAGGTTTGTCTAATATCTATGTAATATCTATGTAATATTTTAGATAATATATAATTAACATTTGAATCACAACAAGATATTCTATCTGTATTAAAATTAATTATTGATTAAACGATTTTAAATTCTCAAAAAAACTCTAAGTTTGACTATCAATCATTATTTTAAATGTCTATCAATTTGTTAACTGCTATTCCGATCTATTCCTCTTATTCTATCTATAAATTAGAAAGTATTTTCAACAAAAAAAATACTTCTTTTGTTAAACTCAAGCAACTAATAACTTAAATTTTATTACTTCTCTTTATTTTTGAGAATATCAAAATCTTATTATTTAGAAATCCCCATAAGCTTTCAACCAACCATGAAAAACAAATCTCGCATTTATGTATAATTAAAATACATTAAAAATTGGTTAATTTTTAAGTATAAAGCAAATTTTTTAATATCATATATAAACAAACTTAAATGAGGTTTAACATAACAAACAATACTCATTAAACATGTGAATGATCTAAGAATTAAATCTCTTTATCATTATTAGAAAGATTTAAGGTTTTCATGATATTGATTTTTGAATGTACCATAAAAACTTTATTCATTCCTTATTCACAACTAACCAAAGCCAAAAATTTTACATTTTCTTCCTCTACACTATAATATTAAAGACCATATTTATGCCTACACCTAATCAAGCTTCGAAAGAACCAAAATAATTTATTATAAATTAATATTATCTGGAAATTTCTTAAAGAAATATTTAAGCGTCTAAAATTGAATTAATATTAATTTAATTGATGCCCTTGTGAATATCACTCTTAGATCATTTTTCAAAAATATATTCCAAACCAAAGTACACTATTAACACATATTGAAATATAGATATTATATAAACATTAGCTCTTAATCAGCCAAATTTGATTTCTCACTACTTTTTCTTGGCTGTACCAACTAACTCAAGATTCAAAATCTATTTACAAAGGTGATTGAATCATTTTTAATATGGCAGAAAAACCTCTCGCTTAATTTCAAAACTCAATTCCTTTTGATTATTAAGGCAGGATAATTCCATTAAATCTAAAATCATAAATGAATTTAAAAAAACTCTTCTCATTCTTCCTATTAGGATTAGATTTTACTTTTCCATTATTATAAGCCCTAAAAGCATCCTCATATCATTTTAATTCTATTTTAATAAGTTTACTTATAATATAACTTCTGTTCCTGTTATTATTTCCAATGATTTTTTTTCTTCTTTCTATTATCGTCAATTAAAACTCATTTTATATAACAAAATATTTCTCAAAATTGACTCACCTCAATTTCTATTAACAAATTTTGTTACAAAATATTCGACAATTTATTATATTTCCTTTCCAATATCATCAAATTAATCCAACCAACCTATAAACCTGAATTAATTGGTTATAAACCTTACTCAATACCAATAATCGATATATAATTAGACCAGTTTATGTTTTTAAAAAGATCATTCATTTAGCCAGCCATCTCTTTCGAAATATATCAATAACTCTGTTATTAACATTTTACTTATTAAATGTTTATTCTATAATTTAGGTTAATTAATTTTATATAATTTTCTTCTCAACTAGATTCGAAAATTTAATAATGAAACCTTCAAATTATTAAGGTATTATCCCTTCATTAGACTCTCTACGGATATTTCTGATTATCCTTTCTTCTCTTATTACGATGATTTATTTTCTACAATAAATTATTTACTTTTCCTTACAATCAAATTTTTTATATTAAGGAAAAAATAATAATAAAATAAAGAATTATTAGATTGAAAGAGATAAAATATAAAAAATATTATAAAAATTTTAAATAAAGATATTAGTAAATAATTTCTCAGAAAAATAACAATTTTAAAAACTATGATTAAATAAGAAGATAAACATATATTATTCTTATATTTAATAAAAGATAAGATTAATATTTTAAGCTTTAAATAGATAATTTATTCTAATAAATTGAAATGAAAAATTCAAATTATAGAAAATAGGAAATTTAATTGAGGATGTAAAATAACATGTTCAAAAATTATCATTACAAGTTATTTATAAGTGAATTTAAAATATATTTTAAATTAGAAGCAAACCTTCCTAACTAAATTGGTTTGCATTTTAATGTTAAAATAGAAATTATATAAACTATTTAAAAGATTAATATTGGATGTTTTAACTATCATCAAATTCCTAGTGTTTATTAAAATAAAAAGTTTTAAAGAAGATAATAACTTACATCTCATTTTTTATAGTTGATGTTCTCGAAAGAAATGAAAAGCTTTTGAACTAATTTAAAAATTAATAAGACAAAACACACATAACTTCTTAATTCTAAAACACTCTATTAATAAAATAAATTTAGATTTTATTTCATTGATAAATTCTGAAATGTTATTGATTTTCAATTGAATCTCAAAATTATCATAAATACAGTTTTTGGAATAAATGAATCACATTACATACTATTTGATTAAATTTATGATTCAAAAGTAGGAGAGGTTTTTATAAGCTTTAAGAAAATATCAAAATTTTATAATATTCCATTTCATTATTTTGATCAATAGATTTTATGAGGAGACAAAAGTATAAATTTTAGTTTATCTCATTTTCTAATTATTAAATCAAAATTGATGAGTTAAAAACTGCTGATCATAATTCTTAATATAGTTTAATATAGATAGAATAGAATAACATAGTTTTTTGTATAATTATCTATTGAATTGTGAAAATAATCTCATTTGGACTAAGTATAGAATTAGGTTAAAATCCTTTAATATTATTAATGGGATTTTGAAGGTTCGAGTGATCAGCCCCAGATGCAAGAGGATCCAACCTAATAGTTTAATAAAATAAGAATTAAGGAGAGATAATTCGTGTTGGAGAATTATAATTAGAGGATATTTTTAAGTAATTATTTTTCATTCAAATATTCCTGTATCAGTGAAAAATGGAGTTCTATAAAACTTATGTCGGAGAATGTTGAGAGGGTTCTATAATAGTAAACTTCTAAATCTCTGGATAATCTATTATAAGTTAATAAATTTTTGATAGCTAGTAGTAATGTAAGCTTGGTTTTGCTGTTACATCCATAAATTTTTTAGAAGGTTGATTGAAAATGGAACTGTTGATAAAGTGTTCTTTTGTATGATTTATATTAGGAGGCTTACTATTATGTTCTTAGATACTCATGTCAATATTCTAGAAGGTCTGTAAGTTTAAATTTAGAGTTGAGCCATTCTATGTTTAGTTTTTATCTGATAATAAATTAAGAATTCTTGCAGTCATTAATCATTAGCAAATTAAGTATATAACTTTGAGGTCAAATTTTCAGGGGTAGCAATTCTTATATCATTTGTATTTGAAGGAGTTAATTTTTCAGAAGATTTGATTGATGGAAATTCTTAAGTAGCAAACCTGGTGTTAAACTAAATGATGATATTAATACAATCTGAAACAAAATGCATGACCTTCCAAATATTCTATGAAATTGAGCCCTTTATAACAATCTTTAAGCTGATGATCTCAATTGTTGAAATTTATTTGGAAATTACTACATTGAATTCAATATTGAATTGTTTTAAAAATAGAATGTATGTTTAATTTATCATTATCAAATATAAATGATATTTCATTCTATATTATCAGTTTGAAATATATCCAATATTTTAAACTTTGATTAACAAAATGGATATAATTCTTATTATAAGGATGCATCTATTTCCAACTTCTAATAATAGATTTGATAATTACAATTGTTGCTAACTGATTATTCTATCTTGTCCATTTATTATACTTATGTTCTATACTTAATTTGATTATGATTATATCATTAGTTGTAAATGTGAATGATAATATTTTAGTATTTACTTCTTTATTATGATGAGAATATATATTGCAATTATGGTTTATTAAATATCATCTATAATAATTTAATACCCATAATTAAATCCTAGACATTAATAATTATTTTTTGCTATAATATCTCTAAATCCTATTCCATTACAAAAGCATGTTCCACTGAGCATTTAGAATGCAAACATTATTTTCCAAGTCTTTGGATTACTTATTCACAAAAGCAATAACATGAACTATAACTAAGTAACCCAACAACCTTTCCACCATCAGTTACTTAACAATTTAAACCCTTATAAGTATTAGAAAATAATAATTTTATTGGATATTGTAATTCTATGATTAATTAAGTATTATAATTATATTGTACTTTATTTAGCTCTATTTTTTATTATTTTTCTTTTATAGCATATCTTTACCAGTTTAATCAACTTATTTTATTTTAAAATGCTTTTTATACTGATTATTTTTTATTTACTTCTGCAATTTCTTTCTTTTCTATGTATTTAATAATTAAATAGTTTCTATTTTTTATCTGAAATCCCTGCACTCATAATAATAAATCTGAGCAGCTACAAGTAATATATAATTAAAATTATATACTGAGTATAAATTAGATGATTAATTTTAATTGAATGCAATTTTTTGCATTTGATCTTTCAATGGGCTCTAATATGTGAAGTACATTATTCTAAATATTTTTTTTTATTTATTTAATTGTTAGTTTTTATTGGAATTATTTTGATTTTCTTATAATCTTATTTCTTAAATTACACTCAATAGTTCATTAAGAGTAAAATTTCTGGAGTGAAATTTTAAATTTTACTATAGGTAAGAATGATATTTAAATTATTAGGATTTTTTACAATTTGACTGCATTTACTAAGTAAGAAAGTAAAGGGTGCTTGCATCGTCATTTTTTAATTAATTCTTAATATCTCAAAGTTGCAATCTTATTTGAAAAAAACATTCTATTTGGATATATGTGGTCAAGAAGTTTAATTTTCTTTTAATTTTTTTCTAACAATAAGGTTGGATTTTTTATTAAAATTAACAGTGTAATGAAAAATAAAATAGATTACGAAATAGTTTAATGATAAAAAGATAATATTAAAAGGATTTACTTGCAAAGGATACAAAAAGTATTGAACCTGAAAATATTGTCAGCTTTACATGATGATACATTCAATGACATAGAATTGTAATTTTAATTCCGTTTAGAGGTTAGACGTCAATTCAACATCCAATATAATATATTACTATGTTCAAACAATTACAGTAAGAAAAAAGAATTTGTAATTAAATTTAATCCAACTCTCTATTTTTATTCTATAAGTTTAATATTCAAACTTGATTTCAACTAAATATCCTTCATTTCAACTTTATATAATTCATTATAAAAAAATATAATATTAAAAATTTCTTTTTTATAATAAAAAGCATCTAAAATAAATTACTTATTTCGTCTTTCTATAGATCTCTAATGCCTAGCATGTAAATTTTAAGTAATTTCTTTAAGTAAAAAGTATCAACAAATTCATTACAAGCATTAATATCTATATTTAGTAAATGATAAAAATTTATTACTAGATCTTTTATAAATGTCACTTATATTAACCAATCCTTATTTTCAAATATTTACTCTTCTTTTTCTTATTTAAAAAAAATAGTAAAATGATGTTAAGGAGTCATATTCTAATATCCTTGATGATTCCCCCTATCCACTATAGTTTTCAATCTTATTTTTAATTTATTCTTATAACAATTAGTCCTTTTTGGCAGATAGAATAAGTAACTTTTTTAGTTTTACTTAACAAATAGTATGGAAATCCTAATTAACATCAACCAAGTAAGATATTAGATGTTTAATTATTTTTTCTTTGTAAACCATACATCTGTACTTTTAAGCCTATGGTTTACTGATAAAATTATCATCCCTTTTTACCATTTAGAGTTTTATTATCTAATAAAATAAGAGATTGTTGGCTAATATGAATTTATAGGCATAATCAAAACATCACTTTCACTTACTATTAATGTGAAAAAATTATGGTATGAAAAATTATTTAAAAATATAATTATATCAATTTTATCTTCTTAATTACCTAATTTAAATCTTAATTCATTTTATGCTTATTCTCGAATAAGGAAGCTGAATAAAAAAAATGTATTTCTTTACTAGAGTTTTTATTTCTATCTTATATGTATCAATCATGCTCGATTAACTTTATATTTTCATTATTGATAGATAATAGAAATAACTGTTTTTGCTATTTCACCATTATTAAATTATTAAGATCAAATTTATGTTAAATCAGACACTCTAAGAAATAAAATTTGGCTCTTTATAAAGTCTTCAACCAATAATCAAGCAAAATTTCAGAGCCTATTTGGTTCCAATATTCAATCATCAGCTGCCATCTTATAACTTAATTGTTTTGATGCAAATCTCATAACTCTTTAAATCCTATTTGCATTTCCTTTTTCCCTTAGATTTCAATTATAGTAATTGGATATTCTATGACCAAAGAAATAACATAGTGATTTCATTATCATAGCTACTCAAAAAACTACCAGTGGAAAAATCTTTGTCGTTTTCTCTTAAATTCACATTAAGAAGAACAAGCAAGGACTCCTACTTTGTTAATGATTTTCTTGGTTTTACAATAATGCATACACATCAAAATACCTGTCAAAATATTGTATCTAAAAATTACAATTTTACCTCAAAATAATTAATAAGTTATTCATAATTTTGATATATATTGCTTTTTTCCTTCATCCTAATAATTAAATATGAAGTTGTCTAATAATAATGTTGACTATTATTATTACTATATTTTATTTAGAATTATCAAAATTAATCTATACTTAAATTAAAAATGGTATAGAATTAATTAGAAACCATAATCTTTAATATTTTTAAATAAACTATGCTTTTGAAATTGAAGTTAAAATTCCAGCATATATTTTTAATTGGATGTATTTAAAAATGGCCAATTAGTATTTTTAATAAAATCATAAGTGATTTAAACTTTTTGAACAATAATTAATGAATGATCTCAATATATTCTTTTTATATATATAATTCATTTATTTAATATCTCATATGATTAATACTTTTCGGATTTCTTATCCCAAAATACCAAATACTATCCATTATTGGTCATAGTTCCAAAAATCTTTTCATTTTAACAATTTAAAGATGCGATAATATTAAATGTGCCATCATTTAATTGGCTAATCAGATAGATATGATGTTTATGTCTTACCAAAATTATATTTTTATCTTTATTGTGAATAATTGGGAAATATAGAAAATCATCACATTAATTGTTCTTAATCAATTAAATGGTTTTATTAATATTTTATTAAAAGGCTCCATTCTATATTTCAGACACCAAAATATCATCAACATTCTTATCTAAAGTTACCCAAAGAAATTATTGATCATTAATTAAATGTAATTTAAATCCATATTTTGAAACATCTTATTTATATTTAAATTCCCATTTTCCTTATACTCCTTTCTCCCATATGATAAATTCTTAAAATCCACATGATACCAATACAGTTTCAGATAAATTAAAATTCAATGAAAATACAAAATTACTATGATTCTCTAATGAGTACTGAAAATTCAGCTCATTCTTAATAAAATCTACATTCCAAACTTTTATTGATTTATCTAAACCTCCTGAAATAAGTTGATCTTCCTATTTATTTAATATCAAACAATTAACATAAAGATTATGTTATAAGAATGGCTATGAACACTTCCACTCTTTTTGATTAATTTATTGCCAACTGATGATAGTCTTATCATCAGAACCAGAAATAAAGTTATTTCTCAATTTGCTAAAAGCCAAACATGTAACACTATCTTTATGTTTTGAATATGTATTAATTAATTTTAATCTTCCTAATTAAAAATTCCAAATTTTAATCTCCTTACCCTCACATGAAATCATGATTGATCCAGTTTTATCAAAAACTATTGCATAACAATAATCACTCTATTAATTAGAATCATCTATTAATTTAAGTTCAACTTGTTTATCTATCATTAATTATTATTTCTATTAATCCTATTAAATATATACTTAAATTACTTCCTTTTATTTTTTACTATTATTTTCTTAATTTTCTTTGATCAATATTTCCGTTTCTTATATTAAATTGACGATTTGTAAACTTATTAATAGTTCTTCACATTTCTAAATTTCTTAAAATGATTTAATTTAATTCAATTTTTTTAAGATCTTCTGATTCCATGATTAATTAATTTAATTAATTTGATCAACTATAGATTTCTAATTGGCTTAATCAAGTTTTGTTTGATTAATTATTTTTTCTAATTCATCAAAGAAACTATATGTAACATTTGATTGTCCCCATAACTAAATTTGTTTAATCCATTCATTTGTATTTCCTATCAAATAATCTAATAATTGAACAATATTTGATTTTAATTGATGAAAAGCTTTTTAGAGTATTTCAAGTTATTTGATGTTAATAATTAACACATTTTCAATAGTTTCTTTCTTTTACTTTTGATTTTCTTCTATATTTTCTAATATCTTCTCAAAGCTAATTAATTTAGATTTTGGTTCTAAATTTTCCATACATTGAAGACACAAAAGTCTTTAATTCTTCTTAAGTTCTTTATCACAAGTAATCATTAAGATTGGAAGCTTATGTTTCTAAGAACAAAAAAGATCTTCTTCTTTTTCTATCATTTTTTATTCAATTATTTGTAATTAATTAATTAATCAAAAAAAGTTAATATCACATTATACACTTGAATTCATGTCATTAATATCAAAATAGAGATACCAAGTTTTTAATGAAATCAAAGTTTAATGCAAATTATGATATTGGAATTTAATTATTGTAAATTTGAAATATTTTTATTCATTATAAACTATTATATGGTATCAAGAATTGTTCAAAAATTCAACTGTTTATTTTTAATGATTAGATTAAATTCTATGTTATTAAATCTCACTAATTACTTAAAATATGCTACAATCTATACTTATTCCACAAAAATCCAAAACTTATTTATATATACATTTCAATATACGAAGATATATGTGGTAAATTTACATTTTTTCATTAACACTAATCAAAATTTAATCTTTGGCATTTTTCAGAATGATTAAAAGTTAAAAAATGCTAATAATAGATAAATAATAATCAAATTTATTTATATATGGTGCAAACATAGAAATCATCGGCTTAAAGATTTTTAAAAAGGAATGTATTTTAACACTAATTTCTAGAATATCCGGAAGGTCAAGCAATTTTGTTTCAGATAGTATTAATGACATCATTAAACACCAGTTTCATTACTTAAAAATTTCCATCAATCAAATTTTCTAAAAAAAAATTAACTCCTTTCAAATACAAAGTAAGTATGCAAAATAGAATTACTACCCCCTTAAACCATCCTCAAAGTTATAAATCTAATCAAGGACGTACTTTATGAAATACATAATTGGCAAATTATTAATGGCTGCAAAAATTCATAATTTACTCTCCATAAAAACTAAACATGGAATGGCTTTCCTCTTAATTTTGATAATCCAAAATCTCTAGGGTATTTATATGAGTATCTAAAAAACCCTTTAAAAAAAAGTATCTAATTCAAGGATTTTATACAAATTTCATGTTAATTATCATAGAGAACCATCTCCAAATTCGCCAAGCAAGTTTAATATTATCTCTGGTATAGTATATAATTATTAAATAAACTCCTTATATATATGAATTTATGTTAAAGTTTTTAGATCAAGATTGTTAACTTACACCTGGATTTATCATCATTAAGTATTTTACTATTCTATTTTTAGAATTGCTTCGATTCTATTATGAATTCAAAAGGTTTAGGAAGTGAACATCAAAAAAATATGCTTAATTTGAGGCTCTAATTTACTTGATCTATTAATAAATTATCAACATTCAAAGAGTAGATTAGCCTAAACTGTTGTAACTATACTTTTGTTAGAGATAAAAGCTCGATATTACATAAGATGTATAACTCCAATTACCTTCTAAGTTTTTGAAGGTTAGTAATTAGAAGGAGCTAGGCTAGAAAATACTACAATTCTATATAAATAAGAATTTCTTGTTGACATTAAAGAATCTTATTAAACCATCTAAGTAATCAGAAAAGTTTTTTTTCAAACTTAGGTATGAAAGCTTGTATAGTATTTGAGTTCCGTATCTTATTATTTAACTTTGATTAAGTTTAGTAAAGTAAATTTGAGTAAGAATATTAAAATCTTCTATAATTTGAAAGATTTACCATATATTTGTTTTTATTGGTTTACCTTGTAAATTTTACAGTCCCATATCTGAAACATTAAGTTCTAAAGTGAAAATAGGACAAATATGGCCTAAAGTTTCTTGGTATGTCTGGGATCCTATTCTCTGTAATGTGACAGAATTTGAAAACTATCTATATTCTATTTTCTTTTTTCCATTATCAATTATGGATAAAACAATTGTGAAATTTAAATTAAATATCATTAATTTAAAGAAATGCAATTATCTGTTTTATAGTTAATATATTTTACTATCTAACAGAGATCAAAGGTAACTTAGATTTAATTATTAGGAATTTAATTAATAATTATCTAGAATGGCATATTACCATTTGTAATCATTAAGACTTACAAAGTAATTTCGATTGAATAATTATTTTCTAATTATCTTAAAATTTTCTTAAAACATCATTCATCCAAAAAAGTGCGATTTCCATATAAAAGTTATTCACAAAGGAATTTTCTTATAACTAAAGAGTTCTTCTTTTATTTTCCTACTTTTAAAGTTTATGAATTTTTTTTAAATTGATATATCTATTTCATTAAAATTATCTAGTTATTATAAAAATAAATTTGATTTTAAATTATATTTCTAAATAAAATATTTCAAAAATCTACTATCAGATAAGCAAGTTTAATTTGAAGTTTATATGTGACTGTTATTTGGTCTAATATTATGATTGATTTTATTTCAAAAGGAATTTGTTTTATCTAATTGGTTTAATTTTCAGACTTTCAATAATTCTAATTTAAAATCACTAAAAAATTTTACAAAAAAAATAAAACTTGTAAAATAAAGTCTTAAACCTGTCTTAAAAATTTTATAGTGAACAATTCTTAGAGCTACAAAATATATAATTTAAGTTGTTCCATCCAAAACAATATGATTAAGAACACAGCCTCTTTTATCCCCTTATTTGTCCAATTACCAAAAAAATGAAAATTTAAGTTATGATTAATTATTGATAAATTTCTGATGGATAAATTAAGCAATTTATGTGAAAATATACCAAGAGCAAAAAGATGCATTATGGAGAGTGGAGAAAGTAAATGGAAGATCAATAAAAAATATTTATTAAATATTATAGGATTTAATCATACGTTATATAAAGGAAGGAAAGAAATTATATGATTTTGTCTAAATCTTATGATTTTTGGAATGGGAATAAGTATTAGGAAGTAAAAGTTGAAAATGGAATGATATTGTAAAAAGAAATCCATAAATCCTTAAACATATTTGTTTTACTTTTAAATAAGAGTCAAAAAAAAAAGAAAAAGAATAAAGTCAATTTAGAATCCTTCTTTACTGTTTTGCTTCTATTGCAAACATTTGGGTTTGGGTTTGGGTTTGGGTTTGGGTTTGGGTTTGGGTT